TTTGAATCCTTTATTTTATAACGAGACATTGGGCGCAAAAATAAAAACCATAATTGTAATTCAACAAGTTTATGTAACGTGTTAGTCTGCTTGCCAGCCAGCTAGTTAAAAAATGCGATCTCCATTGATGTCGGCTTCGACAACTTTGGACAAGTAAAATGGGCGCTGGCCGACATTACATTTGCAAGTATTGTATTTGTTTGACAAATTGTACACTACCGTCATTCTATAACTATCGATCAGTTGTTTTTTCACAGTCTTACTATTCCTGCAGATATTCTTCAATTGTTGTAGGTGCCACGGATTTTAACATAACTACAACTTGACCCGTGCGTGTTAAACCCAAACCATGCGTGCATGACAACCGTCACCCTACACACGGTTACTCAACGAATACCGTACTCTACAGAAGACATTTTTCGCTCTCCACCAAAAATAGAATGGTTTTATTTCATATTAGTTGTGTCTGTGTCGTATTTGATTTCACATGTTTGGTTCGATCTTGTTTATGGTGGACATTATTACTGCGTGTATGTATTATTACCAATTTTATATGGCAGTGTGATCCACCGTATTTTTTCAACGGTCGTTCTATAAATTTCTGATTGTATTTATTCTTATTTTAACATCATAAAAACAAAAATTATACACTTGTACATGAAACAGTAGGTAATGAACTGTAAATGTGGGCGGTTGCGCTGTCAGGCGAGCGAGTGAACGACCGATTGCACGAGCGGATACCTCCGGATTTGCACGGTTGAAAAAAAAGCGGAAATTGCGCGGTCGAATTGAAAAAAGCGAGCGAAAAAAAAGCGATCCAAACCTGGAAGCGGGCGGGAGGTTGGGTGAAATGAGTACTGTACATATATAAGTACTACATGTGGGCCTCTCTCAGATTTGTTCATTTTGTGATGATATCTTCAATTCTCTAATTTTGGTGAATATTTTTGTAATTTTTGGTAAAAAGTGATATTTTCGACTTCTTGTTAAAAACCAAAAGTTCAATTGCTTTGATATTACATATATAGATACTACATGTAGACCTTTCTCAGATTTGTTCATTTCGTGATGATATCTCCAATTCTCTAATTTCAGTGAATGTTTTTGTCATTTTTGGTAGAAAGTTATATTTTCGACTTCTTGTTAAAAACCGCAAGTCCAATTGCTTTGATATTATTACATATATAGGTACTACATGTGGACCTCTCTCAGATTTGTTCATTTTGTGATGATATCTTCAAGTCTGATTGCTTTGATACTATACATATTGTTCATTTTCTAATGATGTCTTCAGTTTTTTAATTGAAATGTGCATTGCTAACAGCAGAGCTATCTCAGCCAATAGGCTGCTTGTTTAAATAGTCATAAAAACTATGACCCCACAAATGTTAACAATTACAATGTCAGATACACAGCAATTTGTATATAATATACAGTGTTTGTAGAGTCGTACTCCTCCAATTTATACACTTCCATATGCTATAAAATAAACTAGAATTAAAATCAGTTCAACCCATGTTGACTTTTTCAAGCCATTCTCAACAACATCTGTCTACTACTGTTTTGTTCTTCATTTTAGGATCAGCTGTTTAAAATCACTGAAAAACTGGATCCAGACAAAGTTGAAAAAGATTACCTTAAGTAGGTGTACATTATTGAATGCATGCTATACTCTGCTTTGTCACTGTGTACCTTAAGTAGATATACATTACTGAATGCATGCCATAACCTGCATTGTCCCTGCATCTTTCCTCTGTCCTCTATACATACTTGTTTGTATCTGTATTGAATACACATCTTCTATATACTAACCACTCTTGATTTGGGTGAATTGTGACTAATGCTTTTGCAGACTAACAGAAGGTCAGCTCTTGCCAGTCTTGTTGCTTGTGTGGAGTTCACTGCATGAGGAAAGAAAGTGTCAACAAACAATAACACGTGATAGTATTTTTTCATCCTCCATGTATTCTTTAGGAATCATTCCAAGGCTGACAACGATGAGAATGATGTTGAACACATTGATAAAAATAATGATACAACTGCTAATAGGTTGAACAGTGATGATAATGATGATGACAGTCAACTTGAGGATCTTTCTGACCTTGAAGAACAAAATGAAAACACTGAAAGCAAATTAGATACAGTTGAGGGAGGAGAGGAAAGGGAGGGAAGAAGTAGTGAAAAAAAGAAATCTTTTAGTATGTTTGGAAGGTCTAAATCTCCTGAAAAAAAGGCTCAAAAAAAATCAAAAAAGGAGGAAAAAAAAGAAAAGCAAAAAAAAAGGGAACAAGAAAAAGAGCGAGCAAAACAATTGAAAATTAGGGAAAAAGAAATTAGAGATGAGGAGAAAAAGAAAAAGAAAGTGAAGAATGACAAACCCAGTGAAGATGATAATAGAGAAATAAATAATACAGATGAAAGTGATGAGGAAAATGCTGATGTTGTGGTAACTGAAAAGAGTGGGAAACATCAACCAAAGGATCAACCAAGAGAACGCAGAAGTGGGCGCTGGTCATTGTTCAGGCAAAAGTCTGGCAGGTGATGGTGGAGCCTAAACTTATATACCAATAGTCAATCTCTGTCGACTGTTGATATTTAAGTTTAGCATTGTTTGCTGTGGTGATGGTGGTGTTCCTAATTCAGGATAAATGAATGACATATTTGTATCTCTGTTATTGTCACTTTGAAACTCTGGCTATAAATAGATTGCATTGTATGTATGTATTATAATAATAAACATAGTCATGCTCATGTCCATAAATGATGAACGTACACTTCATGATAACAATATCATTCAATTATTCTGGAGATAAAATATCTGTGTATACAGTAGTGTATGTGTTTATACCACTCATTTACATAGTTATCTTTGAATACATTATACCATGATATGCATACCATTGATTTATATCCTTATTTGTGAATATATCATTTTTTGGTTTAACACGCCATTAATGTACATAGTTATGTTTGAATACTGTAAAACCATTTATTTTCACTGGCATTTAATTTCATGGTTTTGATGTTTCAGCAATTTCACCAGGTTAAGTTTATGAACTTGGCAGAGAATCAACCCTCTGCCTAAGTTCTATTGTTATTCTGAATTAATTAAAAACCAGTGAACAATTAATGCATTTACAGTGCATCATACCCCTTGTATACATACCACTCATTTATATCATCACCTTTGAATACATCATGCCTTTGTATATATACCACTCATTTATATCATCATCTTTGAATACATCATACCCTTGTATACATACCACTCATTTATATCATCACCTTTGAATACATCATACCCTTGTATACATACCACTCATTTATATCATCATCTTTGAATACATCATGCCCTTGTGTACATACCACTCATTTATATCATCATCTTTGAATACATCATACCCTTGTATACACACCACTCATTTATATCATCACCTTTGAATACATCATACTCTTGTATACACACCACTCATTTATATCATCATCTTTGAATACATCATACCCTTGTATACACACCACTCATTTATATCATCACCTTTGAATACATCATACCCTTGTATGCATACCACTCATTTATATCATCATCTTTGAATACATCATACCCTTGTATACACACCACTCATTTATATCATCATCTTTGAATACATCATACCCTTGTATACACACCACTCATTTATATCATCACCTTTGAATACATCATACCCTTGTATGCATACCACTCATTTATATCATCATCTTTGAATACATCATACCCTTGTATACACACCACTCATTTATATCATCATCTTTGAATACATCATGCCTTTGTATATATACCACTCATTTATATCATCACCTTTGAATACATCATACCCTGGTATACGTACCTCATATTAATTATTTTCAATAATATGTCATACCATGGTGCGTCAATTATTCATTTACATCGTTATCTTACATGTACATATGCCATGTGCTTATTCCATGCGTGTATACGTCCTACCTTGTTATTATACATCACAAAACACTGTAGTATACTGTGCTACCCACTCTCCATTATGTACTTCATTTTGTGGTATAATTTCCCATCCATACATTACATTGCTTTCTCATTATCTCGCCTTCGTTTTTATTACAGTAATTTATATATTGTTTGTAACTGTGTTCTTTCCTGTATTGTTAGTTATATGTTGTGTTTCTCATGCCAAGCCGTGTCAGTTCATCGATGATGGCTTTATTTGTGAATGTGTATTATACTTTTATGTTTCAGCTATTTGTTAAGATCATCTATTTCATTTATTGTTTATTGACTACCTACCTTCTATCTATATCAGCAGTGTAACCAATGTGGTGTTTCTATCTATTGAAGGCTCATTTATCATATTTACTTGCTTGTACCATGGCTAATATGATATAATGTTCAATTATGCCACCTATTTTCCCACATGTGTACTTTGATCAATATCTAATTACTAACATGCCATTGGATCATTTAGCTAACATCATTCTCTCAATTCCATTTCTATACTTGTACACACATCATGATCTCTCATCTTGTAGCAGTCTGATTATCCATTTCTTTTATAAGGACCATGTCATGGTTTTTAGTGACACTGTTGCTTACAAAAGTAGGCTAATAAAATTGTTCAATAAGACTACATGCCATTTGAATTCATCTTTCAAATTAGTTTAAGGTATGCCACCCTCATTTTTAGAATTGTGCTTCAATTTAGCTACATTTGGAACTAGTGAAACTAAGTTTTACCATGTTCACTGCTTGTATACATTGTACATCTTCAAAGGAAACATAAGTTCTATTCCATTTACGAGTAACATATTATGTATTTCTATATTTGACATTTACTTTTCTATCTGAGCAGGAAAGAAAGTGATAAACGTAAAAGTAAAGAAACAAAAGATGATGATGAAGATGATGAAGAGAGTTATGATGATGAGGAGGAGGAAGAAGAAGATGAGACGGTCACAGAGGAAGTAAAACCAAGCACTAGAAAGAAGGTTGTGAAAGAAAGCGATGATGATGGGGATGATGAAGAAGAAGAAGAAGAAGAAGAGGAGGAGGAGGAGGAAGAAGAAGAAGAGGAGGAGGAGGAGGAGGAAGAGGAAGAGGAGGAGGAGGAGGAAAGTGAGACTCCTGTAAAAGTGAAAAGTAAAGTAAAAAGACCTACTGATCAGCAAAGGTAAGTTTTATGTATCTCATAAACAAAGGAGCTTTATGGAGGTGATTAAAATCAAACCACTGGTTTCCATCCTGGTTCCAAGGAGCTCTATGGTGCTCCGTCGATTTCACTAATTAGCTTTTAATTAGGTCACCTAGAAATTCCATTTTTTCTGTCTGAATACGAGCAGGTTCAACTAGTAAATGTAAGTGCCAAACGTCTGTGTTTGAAAAATTAATACCGGTAGAAATTGATTCAAAGTTCAAGGAGCCGAAATTCCTGTTCTTTTTTAGTGCCAGTGTTTAGAATTCCAATTTGTTTTAGTGCATCCAACTCAGCGAACACGTATTACTGGTAATTATATTCATGCAGTTAAACCTTGATGATTTGACGGTTATCTCCAGAAAACATAGTCAGGATGTTATGAATTACGCCGTCATATAATCCTATTGTTACTATAAACATAGCTGTGAATATTTGTAGAATGCAGGTGTAATGGTTTAGTTTTTACTTTGGAAACTGTGTACCGCAGATCCATCGTTTTATCAAAGTTGCGTAGTTACAATTTTGTGAATTACGGCCTTATATAATCCCATTGTTACTATAATTATCTCCAGAAAACATAGTCACGATACTATGAATTACGCCGTCATATTTGTAGAATGCGGACGCAATGGTATTTTACTTTGGAAACTGTGTACCGCCGATCCAGTATTTTATCAAAGTGTAGTTACGATGTTATGAATAACATAGACTGTTAATCTACATAATATTATTCCGGTTTGGTCTGCTGAAGTGTGTATTAAAATGTGAGATTAATATGAATGAAATCTCAGTAAATGTTGAGAATTATTGAACTTGCTCTCAGTGAAATATCTATGCAAACAGTTTCTAGTTGTCTGCAAATTTAGTTGTCTGTTCTTTCATATTTGTATGTATAAGAAACTTGTACATCCGGTAATGCTTTGAAATCGACAAATGTGGTCATGGAAACAGTATTATTACGTGACCTAGAGAAAGTAGTTGACAGGTATTTGAATTCTGACCTAGATTTGGCAGGATTGCATAGTTCTGTTTTGTCTTGTCATCAAAGGGCGAGTTTTTATTTCAGTGTGATCCACTAAAGTTCATTTTAATTTGGAAATAACTGATTTTATATATTATAAGATTTTAAGATATTATAATAAAAGTCTTCCGATGCTCTACGTCAACAATGCAACAGGACACAGCAAATATTTACGGCCCGTAATTTTATGAAATTCACGCAAATGCATTCATGGAGACAGGATTATTACGTGAATTTAATAGTCTAAGAGAAAATCGCAGACACGTATTTTGTCTTCTGACCCCGAATTTGCATGGACGCATAGTTTTGTTTTGTCAGCGAAGCACATGTTTTTATTTCAGTGTGATCCACTATAATTATCTTTTATTATTATTGGGAAATAACAGAGCTAGCTATAACGCAGTGGTAAAGTGACGTGACGTAAAGCAAGTATTTATGGCGTAAAGCAAGTATTTATGGCCAGCAATTTTGCGAAATAGACGCCTTGATAATTAAGCAAACACACAAACACGCTAGAAAATAGGTCAGCAGAAATCTTCATACTACGATGTCCTTAAAAATGTACAAACATACGAGCGTTCATTTATTTTTCTTGTTTTTTTATACTACAAGTAATGTTCTTTTAAAGTTCAACTACGGTTCCGCTCCTGAAAAGGAGGCGCTGCACTGAATTGTCAGCTCATGAATGTTCTTGCATAAATTTGCATATTGTGCGTAGCTCCCCGGGCCGGAAACCACTGGTTTGATTATGATCACCTCCCTTAATATGCTTTATACTCCGTGTGTGTAAGTGGTGTTTTTGTGTCTTGCACTGATGACCGATTTCAGATATACCTGTGATCTCCCAGCCACAACCATAAGTTGATATCAGCTGTATTCAACCATCAGTTATACTTGTGATCTCCCAGCCACAACCATGAGTTGATATCAACTGTATTCCACATCAGTTATACCTGTGATCTCCCAGCCACAACCATGAGTTGATATCAGCTGTATTCAACCATCAGTTATACCTGTAATCTCCCAGTCACAACCATGAGTTGATATCAGCTGTATTCAACCATCAGTTATACCTGTGATCTCCCAGCCACAACCATGAGTTGATATCAGCTGTATTCAACCATCAGTTATACCTGTGATCTCCCAGCCACAACCATGAGTTGATATCAGCTGTATTCAACCACAGCTAAAGGTGGCATAGGTTATGAAAGCATGCATTGACATCAGTAATCATGTGTAAATCACTTATTTATTGCTTATTGTAGTGATGCATCAGACGAGACTGATGAGGAAGAGGAAGAAGACGAGTCTGATGAAGATGAGTCTGAGGAAGAAGAAACCCGATTGGATGAACTGTCGTCAGAATCTGATATTTTGGATGAAGGAGTGAGTTATTTTCTGTGCTTGGTACCAAAAAATGAATGAAATGCTTTATCTGAATATTATAGTTATCTGCTTTTATCTTGTACCCTTGTTCTAAATAATGTACTATTTAAACATTTTAGTCTGAAATGTGAAATGTCATAAAGCTATACAAACATAATGCTTTGCATAATTTCCTTGTTTTTGAGCTTCAATGAAATTCTAGTTTGGTTTATTTTTCAATTGTCTTTTTCTCATTTCTATCACTGGACCAGTTTTATACAAGGTAGAATGTTCATGAATTGTTATATATGCGCATATTTTAGCTCATATATATTTCTTGTCAGAATATTTAATTGTTTCAAAAAAACTGTAGAACAATATGCATTAAAAAATATTTTAGCAGTGGTTTCCATGGACCACAATGAAAACACAATTCTTTGATAAAAACCCACAAAAAATATTGTAATTTTTTTAATATTTAATATATAGGAAACAATGGTAAAAAGCCATAAAAAAGACAAAACATGCTATTTTCACTGTATTTTATTGATGGGTTTAAAAAAAAAACTTAATATGATGACCCCTGATTTTTAATTTGTTTTCTTCATCTTTGTAACATGACATATCAAAATGACATTATTTTTTACTTTTGTGCCCGGTTTTACCATAATTCTTGTTTCCATCCTTTAGATGCGACAGTTTGAAGCTGTGTGTGACTTTGTAGGAGAACAGGCTGATGATCTTAGTTTTAAAGTTGGAGATGTCCTAACAGTTATACAGACCAGGTAGGTCTACAAACACATAATACAATCTTTCTTTTTTTCTTCCTATTTTTTTGTCTTTCCTGGTATAAGCAGGCACATATATTTTTAGAGATATCAATAAATACTTGTTTTCAAAATGCACACAGTAGTACATGTTGGTCATTTTCTCCCCCACCTAATTTAGCTTAAATACATTATTGTTTGGAAAATTGTATGATCATACGTAGAATTGGAATCACCAACAGAAATAATAATAACTTTAAATCGGACATAAGCAGGAGTACCGTACATGATGATGTATTATTGGAAATGATAACTATTTTATTGAACCTTAGACAGCTAAATTATTTACAACCCAAAGCATTTGTGTTTTTTAGATGAACAGACATGCACTACCACATTTGTTGTGTTGTTAGTACACAGAACTGTGATAAATTTAAAATATTTGCTCGATGTATTACAATGCCTTGTAAATAACAGATTCAGATTAAATGTGCAGCACATTTCTGTTGAATTGTGTAAAGGATTAATAAATCTCCATCAAATCCGATAAATGATAAAATCTAAGCTAACCAGGAGATTCACAACGTTAGTGTTCATTACACAGTGGGTGGCGACTGCCTGCGCTTGGACCTACCTCATAACATTTTGGCCCAGATTTATTTGTTAAAAATCAAATAATACCTACTAGAAATTTGTCTATGCTTCAGGGACTGTGTCTATGGATATATATAATTAATATATAATTTTCCGGCCTGCGATGACATCATACTCATTACATTATAAGTATTATTACATGGTTCCGAGACATTGGTATCCATTGTTTCTGAAATTTTCCTCCAATGTGGCTTATTTAAATGAATTAATAATTATTTGTAGGGTTAATTTATTTTCTAGGATAAGTGAAATCCGCTAAATTTAGTTGACATGAACATGTTAAAAGAACAATAGAACGTATTGTTCATCTATTGAGTATGCTCAGTTATCAAAATAATCAACACTATGAAAATTATTACATGGTTCAGGAACTTTTATACAGGTCATGTAATATTCATTTTTTGTTGGATTTTGATGTGAGTTGCATCTGCATTTTATTTTTGTAGGATTTTTTTCTTTCTTTTTTCTGTTTGCAATTGAAAATTCGTCTCCTATTATTGTGAGCAATACTGTATATACACCAAGGTTTTGTGCAACTTATAACAATAGCACGGTTGTTAATTCCACAGAGAGGATGGATGGTGGCAAGCTGAAGATGAAGAAGGAAAAAAGGGTTTGGTACCAAGTACATATCTAAAGGTCAGTTTACTCTGCTAGGTTTTCTTTATACCATAATATATTATCAGTGTAAGTGTGAACAAACATAGGAAATCGTTATCAAGGCTTTGTTGCTTGAGTCACCAATTAGCAATAGAATTTGACAGTATGCATAATGTAGATCATTTTGAAAAGAAATGTGTATTATGCAATAGCGGAATAATTGAAGATGAATTACACCTAATTTTCGACCCATTACACTTTGTAATTTGTCAAAATTCCTGTGTCAAGCTTTTAAGTTAAGGTCAGAGACACTAAAATTAATCTCTTGATGGGCAGTATTCTTATATTACAATAAATTTATGTATTTATGTATTATTATTGTTTTCAAGAAATGTAAACTTGAGATTGTGATGGGCCGGTGGCCTAGTATGGCAATAAAGTTTATTTATACCGGTATATTTATATTACCAGAAATGACCTTTCATTTAATTGTGGTATTTCAATTTTGTGTTTCAGTTGCGCAAAGATTACAGTGATCACACAGATTTACAGTCGCCAGAAGGTAAAGACGACAGTATTGTTTTCATCATTCTTTATGTATTAGTAACTTGGGAGTGATAATGTTGGTGTATAACAGGCTTCTCTCACTGCCATCATAGCTAATTCAATAGGTCATATATGCATGGTCTGTCTATTTAGTCAACTGTAAAATAACAAAGGGTAAAATCTTTGGTTTGCATTGTTTAATGAATAAACATTTTATTATAGCTAGTTAATTACTACCGCTATTGTTTATTAGTTGCTGCCCACCCATCCACTTCAGGCAGCATTTATGTCTGTCACTTGTTAGTTTCACTCCACCCAGAGAAAGGGATCAAGCTAATGACTAATGGAGATTTCGCTGGGTTCCCAGTGATGCTGGCCACTAGATGGCATCATTTGGGCAGATCTTTCAGAAATACATTTATTGCACATGGTAAACCCATATTTGTCTGATTTAGACAATATCTAAATGATACAAATTAGTAATTGGCAGCAACTAATAAACATTGAAAGTTGTATTTATCACAGTTTTTCTATTTCAGTTTATGCTCAATTTAGACTCTTTTCTCATACTGGGTAGGCTGTATTATATCCAGTCCAGTGTTATGTGAGTTACAACCTAGATGCAGATAGAGGAAGAGTTTTAATCCATTTACATGCATGTATGATATCAAATGGACCACACTTCATTTGACTATTGGCATTCTTGTTAGCATTTTGGTATTACAAAAAGTCAAAACAAAGCAAACAATTTAGGGCAATCTAAAAACTGATAATCTCAAAAATTGGATGACCAAAGTTGTCAAGACATTCACTTAATGCACCTTACCATTTTTTTTCTGGAAAATGATATTTTTCTAAGTTTGCCAAACTAGCATGTTTCTGTGGGAAGTATTTTGAATGTTTGGGTACTCCAAGGTTTGTAGATTTGGTGATAATGCATATAACAACCTGCATGTTTTTTTATCAGCTCCTCCATCACCTGGTCCAGAATCTCCAAGAAGGTCAGAACCTTCAGAGTTATTAGAATTATAGAATCATCCATTCATTCTGTGGGGATGTGATTGCTTCCATTCATTCTGTGGGGATGTGATTGCTTCCATTCATTCTGTGGGGATGTGATTGCTTCCATTCATTCTTTCATGCTTTGCTGAATGTTTGGGCAGTGTGATTTGCTAGTTGGGTTCATAACAAAACTCTAAATGCTAATAATGCTTATTTATGAGAAATAAATAGCATTTGTGTGCTCACAGTTGTCCCTTCAGTAAAATGGATGATTCCAAGTTTCACATGTTTTGCATGTATTTTACACCTTTATCACTACATTGTATGTTCTTGAACTTGAATAACAATTTGTATTTTTTATTTTTTTCCCTGTCTACTACTACTACTACTACTACTACCACCACCTTTCCCTTCACTGGATCTCACCACTGTTTTCAAATGATATTTTTCTGTAAGAGTTTATTATATATTTTCAGCATGCACACTGTCTCTTCTTATAACTATGATTTATATTTTCTACAAATATTTTTTTCACTTTCAAGTATTAATTTCAATAATTGTTTGTAGAATAGGATTTAACATTCTCTGTTCTCCTGAATAAACCTCACTAGATAGACCTTTTAGCTAGTTATGACAGACACATGAATTGGTCTGCAGTGGTACAACCTTAGCCAAACCAATAGACCTCTTAGCTAGTTATGACAGACACATAAATTGGTATGCAGTGGTGCAACCTTAGCCAAACCAATAGACCTTTTAGCTAGTTATGACAGACATATGAATTGGTCTGCAGTGGTGCAACCTTAGCCAAACCAATAGACCTCTTAGCTAGTTATGACAGACATATAAATTGGTCTGCAGTGGTGCAACCTTAGCCAAACCAATAGACCTCTTAGCTAGTTATGACA